TCTCTCTCTCTCTCTCTCTCTCTCTCTCTTTCTTTCTTTCTTTTTGATCTTTTTTGAGACGGTCTCCCTGTAGCCCCAGCTGGCCTGGAACTCGGTATGTAGACTAGGCTGGCCTTGAACTCACAGAGATTGACCCCCCCCATGCTGGGATCAAAGGTGTGCACACTCACACCTGGCTTCTAGGATTTTTCAAGCCTAATATCTGTCATTTGTCACGCTCCCTTAGCCAGATTCAGGGGACACAGTCACCATAGAAATGCCAACCCCACTTCCCTGTCTGTCACTAGCCACGGGCTAGCAACCTGCACCCTCAGCCTCAGCTTCCCCATCTACAACCTCAGGCCTATGAGGACCATAAGGAAGTATTGTCCTTTGGAAAGCGCTGGCCATGCAGTTATTGAGCACCTACTGTGTACCAGACCTTGTGAGAAGAACTGGATCTCTGTGAGTTCAAGGCCAGCCTGGTCTATATAATGAGTTGTGGGTCAGCCAGGGTTCCATAGTGACACACCTTTAGTCCCAGCAGTCAGGAAGCCAAGAAGTAGAGGCAGGCAGATATCTGTGAGTTCATGGTCAGCCTGGTCTATATAGTGAGTACCAGGCCAGCTTGGGGCTACAGGGAGACTGTGTCTCAAAAAAAAAAAAAAAAAGAAAAAGGGGCTAGAGAGCTGGCTCAGCAGTTAAGAGCACTGACTGCTCTTGCAGAGAACCTGGGTTCTGTTCCCAGCACCCACATGGTGGCTAACAACCATCTGTAACTCCAATTTCAGAGGATCCAACGCCCCTATCTGGCCTATACGTGCTTTGAACATATGTGGTACAATAACACATGCAGACAAAACACTCATACACATATAAATCTTTTTTGTTTTTAAGTTATAGACAAAGACAAGGACAGGACATAGAGAGGAACTGTGAGAAGTTTGGACCTTCCCAGAGCTCCTGGCCATTTCCAGCTCACCATCCTCCTGCACATCATCAACCCTGTGCCCTGGCCACCTTGAGCCAGGGGACATCCTGGGCGGTATGTGACTGCTGGGACTCTGACAAATATCAGGTGAAATCTCTAGGAAGTCACCAAAGTTTCCACAGTGGGAGACGCAGGGACAGGGCTGTGGGACTGGAGCACCCTGGACCTGAAGCCCACCCACCTGGCAGCGTGGGGCTGCCCGAGTTTCATTCAGCCATCCAATTGGGGATTGATCAGTCGACCCTCAGTGGGCAGCTTAGGGCATCTCTGAGCTTTGGGGATGGTTGAACCGTGCCCACTGGGACTGTTGAATGACTGCATGTTAAAGTAGGGGACACTGGGGTACACACTGTCAAGTGGTGCGGACAGAAGCAAGGACAACTTCCTTCAAGGATGAGAAAAATAGCCTGTTGGGTTAGCTAGGGTGTGTGGGGACTCAGTACAGAATCTATCCTTTCATGAGGGACTGAACAGGTCCAGAGAGGTTGAGCTCCTTGGTGAGATCACACAGCATAGGCAAGAAAGTGCAGACTTCTCGCTCAGCAGTGCCTGCCTTTCTTTCTGCTTTGGTAAATAGTTGTGAAATAAGCAACCTTCCTCATCCTGGTTCACACCAGCCACCAAGCTCTCAGCAGCCCCAGACCCATGAGCAGTCTTAAGAAATTCAGGGAACTCTTGAGTTTTGTTCTGAGGGACCCAGGAGCCCTGTGAAATTTAGGGCTGGAGGGGAAATGTCCATCAGCACCTCAACCCTCCCAACCCTCCATACTTTTGTTTTGTTTTCTTTGAAACTGGGTCTCAGTCTGGCGTGGAAGCACCATCTTTAGTCCCAGCACTCAGGAGGCAGAGGCAGGCAGATCTCTGTGCAATGGAGGCAAGCTTGATCTGTAGCTGGGGCTACAAGGAGACCCTATCTCAAAAAAGACCAAAAAAAAAAATAGAGGGCTAGAGAGATGGCTCAGTGGTTAAGAGCATTGACTGCTCTTGCAGAGGACCCAGGTTCAATTCCCAGATGGCAGCTATGAACCGTCCTTAACTCTAGTTCCAGGGGAATCCGATGCCCTCTTCTGACCTCAGTGGCATTGCATGACATGGCGCACTCACATACATGCAGGCAATACACTCATACACATAAAATAAAAATAATAAATAAAAAAATTTTTTGGTCTTTTTGAGACAGGGTCTTGTAGCCCCAGCTGTCCTGGAACTCGCTATGTAGATCAGGCTGGTCTCGAACTCACAAAGATCCACCTGCCTCTGCTTCCCAAGTGCTGAGATTAAAGGCATGCGCTACCACACCTGCCATTAAATAAAATATTAAAAAAAATAAAAATAAAAATAGGGCTGAGGAGATGGCTCCATATGTAAGGGGCTTGTCCTGAAAACATGAGGACCTGAGTTCAGATTCCCAGCACCACATAGAAGTGAGGCAGTACTCTGTGCCTCAGTAACCCCAGCACTTGAAAGCAGAGGTTGTGACAGGATGATTCTGGGAAACTACAGCCAGCCAGTGAGCAGGCACCAGGCTGAGTACCAGACCCTATCTCAAAACCTAAGGTAGACAGTGATCAAGGCCGACACAAGGACATCCCCTCTGGCCTCCACACAGAAGTGTGTGCACACCCCAACTACACACATGCATAGGACTCCCCCGACAATTATTTAAAATATGGGCTGGAGAGATGGCTCAGTGGGTGAGAGTGCTGACCGCTCTTGCAGAGGACCAGAGTTTGATTCCCAGCACCCACATGGCAGCTACTAACCGTCCTTAACTCTAGTTCCAGGGGAATCCGACACCCTCATCTGACCTCTGCGTGCATTGCATGACATGGGTGCACTCACATATATGCAGGCAATACACTCATACATATAAAATGAAAACAATAAAATCTTTTAAAAAATAAAATAAAAAAATTAAAAATGGGGCTGGAGAGCTGGCTCAATGGTTAAGAGCACTGACTATTCTTGCAGAGGACCTGGGTTCCGTTCCCAGCACCCACATAGTAGTTAATAACCATTTGTAACTCCAGTTCCAAGGGATCCAATGCCCACTTCTGGCCTCTGTGGGTATTGCACATAGGTGGTGCACTTACATACATGCAGGCAAACACTCATACACATAAAATAAAAGTAAATAAATAGGCCAGGCGTGGTGGCACACGCCTTTAATCCTAGCACTTGGGAGGCAGAGGCAGGCAGATCTTTTGAGTTCGAGGCCAGCCTGGTTTACATAGTGAGTTCCAGGATAGCTGGGGCTACAGAGAGACCCTGTCTCAAAAAGACAAAAAAAAAGTGAATAAATAGGGGGCTGGAGAGATGGCTCAGAGGTTAAGAACACTGATTGTTCTTGCAGAAGACCTGGGTTTGAATCCCAGCACCCACATGGCAGCTAACAACTGTCTGTAACTCCAGTCCCAGGGGATCCGACAGCCTTTTCTGACCTCTGTGGGCAATGCACAACACAGTTGCACTTACCTACATGCAGGCAATACATGCATACACATTAAAAATAATAAATAAAATATTTTTAAGAAGTAAAAAAATAAATTGAAAAAGATTTATTTAAAATAAAACAAGTTGGGAGTGGTGGCACAGTCTTTAATTCCAGCACTCGGGAGGCAGAGGCAGGCGGATCTCTGTGAGTTCGAGGCCAGCCTGGTCTACATAGTGAGTTCCAGGCCAACTGGGGCTACAGGGAGACCCTGTCTCAAAAAGACCAATATATATATAATAAAATAAAAAGGGTCTGTGAAATGACTCAGACATTAAAGGAGCTTGTCACACAACCTGAGTTTGATCCCCAGAACCTACAAAAAGATTGAAGGAAAGAACGACTCCACAGATCTGTCTTCTGATCTCTGTACGTGCACGCTAATAATAAATAAAACTAAAAGGAAAACACATTGTAAATAAATGAATTAATTTTATGTGTATGAGTGTTTCATCTGCCTGTATGTAAGTGCACAGGGTCCTCGGCAAGAGCAGTCAGTGCTCTTAAACCTTGAGCCAGCTCTTGGGCCCTCACAGGGTCTCACTTTGTAGCCCTGGGTGGTCTGAAACTCAGAGACCCTGATGCCTCAAGACATGTACACCCTGCTCAACTGAAACAATTTTTAAATTAAAAAAAAATCAATAAACATAATATCACCAGGACTGGTGAGAGGACTCAGTTTGTAAAGTGTTTTCCCCACAAGCATTAAGCCCTGAGTCGGCCGGGTGTGGTGGCACATGCCTTTAGTCCCAGCACTCGGGAGGCAGAGGCAGACGGATCTCTGTGAGTTTGAGGCCAGCCCGAGGCCAGCCTGGTGTCCATAGTGAATCCAGGACAGCTGGGGCTACAGAGAGACCCTGCCTCAAAAAGACAAAAAAAAAAAAGCTAGAACTCAGGAGGTAGACGCTGAGTTCGCAGCCAGCCTGGGCTACACAGTGAGTTTCAGGCCAGCTGGGGATATAGAGGGACCTTGTCTCAGACGAGAGCAAGCGAGAGCGAGAGCGAGAGAGTCCTCTAGGAAGTCACAAGTTCTACACATTGTTGGGGCAGGCTGTGACTTTCTTGCTTCCCAGTGGCCTGGACACGAAGTCTGAGTTTTCCTGCTGCCCCCTCACTCAGGCAATTAATTCATTAGTCCATGTACAACCGTTAGCCCAGGCTGGACGTCCTGTAGACGCTGAGACTCCCCCGACCCCCCGAACTTCTGCGCCTCCACCCCCAGGGACCAGGCGCCACCTCAAGCCCTTTGCACTTGCTATATGTGTCTACAATCTTTTCTTCCCATGCAGGTCTACTAGGGAGCTCAGGGCGAGGCTGGGTCGCGCTTGAGGGATGCTCTGGAGTGTAGCTGCGCAGCACTGAGCGTGAGCAGCCGGCAGGAGGCGCGCGTGGGCTCTCAGGGAGCCGGGAGCGCGCAGGGGCGGCGCGCACACGAGCCCACCCGGCCGCGCCCGGACAATAACCGAGACTATGCGAGCGCCGGAGCCGCCCCCGCGCCGCTTAGCCCGGGCCGCCAGGCCCTAGAATCGGCCCTGCTGCGCTGCACAGTGCACCGACCTCGCAGAAGATGGAGTGAGTACCGACCGCGTACCCCAGGCCTGGTCCGCACCCCAGGAGTGTGTGTGGGAGGGGGACCCGGGTTGCACCCACACATCGCTTGCACGGTGCAGAGAGAGAGAGAGAGAGAGAGAGAGAGAGAGAGAGAGAGAGAGAGAGAGAGACACGCGCGGGGGCGCCACACTTTTCAAAGAGAGAGAGAGAGAGAGAGAGAGAGAGAGAGAGAGAGAGAGAGAGACCCGCGGGTGGGCACAACCTTTTAACCAACCTGGGCCACTTGTGGGTGGGCGCCCACCGGAGCGTTGGAGGGGATTCTCCCCCAAAAGGCCCGGTGCTCCCCTCCCCCAGCCTCGCGGGGCTGTTCCTGCGGGTCCTTCCTGCAGCCTGGGGTCGGGGGGCGGTCCCTGGGTGCCGACGAGACGGATAGAGTTTGGTTACCCCCTCTTTTCCTCTGAAACTGTCCCCCACCCCCCAAAAAGAGGGGCGACCAGATGGTGTGCGTCAAAGGGACTGCTGGCTCAGGCTGGTTCCCCAAACCCAGCCCTCCTGGCCTGTCCGTGTGTGGAAGGGGCCAGCGAGAGGCTGATGGACCGGGTGGTGCAAGACTTTGTACACAGCTGGTGCTAAATGAATGTGCAGAGTCATTTAGGAATGCAGCCTACTTTAGGTGGGAGGGCGGCCCCCCGTAACCCTCACTCGCACAGGTGGGAAGGAGAGGCGCGTTTGACAGGTCTGGGGTTAGGGAGGCATCTCGCGGGGCTGGGGGCTGGGGAGGGGGGCGGCTCACAGACCGGCCTGCTTGTCAGGCTTCCCCTGTCGTCACCCCAGCAGAACTGGGACGTGAAGTCCAGCCAACCCGGCTTGGCTGGTGGCCGCTCCTCGGGCCCTGCCCTCTCTGGGTGTGTTTGGTGTAAGACAACTTTTCCTGGGGGATTAGCCCGTGACCCGACACACCCTCCTGCACACTCTCCGGGTGGGGGCCGCACATCCCTCCCTGGCCCCGGAAAGGCTGACACCTAGCCCTGTGTCCCTCTTCATTTCAAACAAAGCCTGGCTGCATCCCCATCCTGCCCCCGGAACCCAGCCAGGGGCTCAGGGGAGCTGGGGCCTGGGCTTGCCACTTGCCTCCCCTGGCTTGTTTTATCTCCTTGCCTGGCAGGGCCCAGGGGAGCCTCCCACAGCAGGGCCTAGCAGGAGTGTGGCTATGGGCAGAGGGCTGCACCCCCAGGAGCCTCTATTGTTTCCTGTCTGTCTAGACCTTTCTTTCCTACTGGGGATCCTGAGGCCCAGAGAGGGTTAGCAGATGCCTCAGAGCCACACAGCCCACGGGCAGCCCCCTGGGTGGCCCACACTGGGAGGATGCCCCAACCCTTACTGGGTTTGGGGGGTATAGCTGGAGCAAGACATCATGTGGCTGTGAACAGACAGGAGAGAAAACCTCTTTCCTTTGTGTCTAAGTTGATCTTGGACACCCAACCCTCAGTCCGACTGGACTTCAGGTACTGAGCTAGTCAGGGGCTCCTGGGCTGACCTCTCTCTCCTTATGTTTCTAGAGAGTTCATGGCCCAAAACACAGGAGATGGTGGTGACTAAAGTTTAAAAGGCATTTAAAAGTCGGGCATAGTGGTGTGGTGATGCATACCTTTAAGCCCAACACTGTGAAATGGAAGCCCACCTGGTCTACGTAGGGAGTTCCAAGGCAGTTGGAGCTACAGGGAGACTCTAAGGGGAAAAAAAAATTTTAAATGAAGAAAAAGAGCAAAATGTATTAAGAAATTAAAGGAGCAGGCTGGAGAGATGATTCAGGGGTTAAGAGCACTGGCTGCTCTTGCAGAGGACCTGGGCCCTTAACTCCAGTTCCAGGGAATCCAACATCCTCTTCTGGCCTCCCCAGGCATTGCAGGCACACAAGTACATATATACACACATAGACACATAATCAAAATTAAAATAGATCTTTAAGAAAGACAAATTTAAAGATCTAATAAAAATTAGCGTTGAAGGATGGAAGGAGAGAGATGGGCCCATGACCAAGGAACTGTTGACAGTCCTCCTGCTTCAGCCTCCCTGGGATGACAGGCATGAGATACCAGCCTTTCAAAGGGAAAGTCTTCACCTGGCGACTGGGTCTTCAAGGCTGATTTACATCTGCTAATCGCTCTTTGGGTTACAAGACACAGGGTTTGTAGGGATAGTTGAGTTTAATAACAAGTTTACATTTTCGTTATATCTATTTATATCTATATCTGTTTACTGATTTTTTTTTTCTGGAGCAATGTATGGCTTCATCTATCTGTTTGGGTAACAATGTAGCATTTTTCTTTGACACAAGGGGACTTGGTTTGAATTGTGAGTTTAAAAAATTAGTGTGTGTGTGTGTGTGTGTGTGTGTGTGTGTATGCGTGTTCAGGTGCCTGTCACCACTCAGGTGTGAAAGTCAGAGGGCAACTTGCAGGAATTGATTCTCTCCTTCTATCATATGGGTTCTAGGGAATCGAACTCAGGCCCCGAGGCTTGGCGAGCCCCTTTACTTGCTGAGCCAATTGCTGGTTTTAATTTTGTTTTGCTTTTTGGCAGCAGGGCCTCAAAATCACTATGTAGCTGGGGAGGAAACTGAACTCCTGATCCTCCTGCCTCCACTTTCTAAATGCTGGAATGACAGGATTTGACACCACACTAGTTTCTCTTGTTTTGAGACAGGGTCTCACTATGTAGCCCAGGCTGATCTGGCACTCACTATGTAGACCAGGTTAAGTTGAACTTACAGAGATCCACCTGCCTCTGCCTCCCATGTGCTTGACTAAAGGTGTGTGTCATGAATAGTTATTTGTTTTTTACATTTATTTTTTTTGTGTGTGTACTATTTATTTATTTAGAGACAGTGTCTCCCTGTAGACCTGGCTGGCCTGGAACTTGCTATGTAGACCAGGCTGGCCTCAATCTCACAGAGATCCACCTGCCTCTGCCTTCTGAGTGCTGAGATTAAAGACCTGCGCCCTCACAACCTGCTAAAGTACTCTTCATTACATTTTATTCTTGTATGTTAGGGGTGGAATGCATACCACAGCCCTCATGTGGAGGTCAGAGAACAGTTTCCACAAGTCAGTTCTTGTCTTCCACCATGTGGGTCCTGAGGATTGAACTCAAGTCATAATGCTTGGCCTCAAGCTCCTTTACCCACTGAGCCCCCAGTGACCTCTCAAGTAGTTTTTTTTGTTTGTTTGTTTTGTTTCGTTTTGTTTTGTTTGCTTGTTTTGGGTTTTTTTGTTTGTTTTTTTAAAATTGTATGTGTATGAGTGTGTTGCCTGCATGTATGTAGGTGCACCTGGGTCATGCAATTCCTGTGGAGGTCAGAAGAGAACATCAAATTCTCCTAGTTATGGACCGTTGTTAGATGCCATGTGGGTGCTGGGAATCGAACCCGGGTCCTCTGCAAGAGCAGTTGGTGGTCTTAACTGCTGAGCAATCGTTCCAGCCCTGAAGAAGGTTCAAACTGATTTCCAGACCTAACAGCTGTAACCATGTTTATACTCCTACCAGATTTCTTCATGATGGCCATTCTCACTGGACTGCGATGAAGTGGTACCTCCAAGTAGTTTTGTTTGTTTTAATATTTTATTTGTTAGTATGAGTGTATTACCTGCATGTATGTGAGTGCATCATGTCATGCAATGCTGAGGAGGTCAGAACAGGGCATCAGATTCCCCTGGAACTGGAGTTAAGCCACCGTGTGGGTGCTGGGAATCGAACTTGGGTCCTCTGCAAGAGTAGTCAGTGCTCTTAACCACTCAGCCCTCTCTCCAGCCCCCTCTCAAGTAGTTTTTAGCACAAAGTTGAATGACTCTAATTGGAACACTAAATCTAAAACTTTTTTTTTTCTTGAGACTGGGTTTTATTCTGTAACCCAGGCTGCTCTGGAACTCCCAATCCCCACTGCCTCAGCCTCCTGAGTGCTGGGAAGATAGTCCTGCACCACCATGGCTGAATCAAAATCTGATTTTTTTTTTTTTTTGAGCACTAGCAATGACTCAAGTGGAAAATTCCAACTTGACCTCGAGTGGTAGGTCCATCAAAAGGCAGGTGTGTTAAGGCTACTGGATAAAATTGCTTCTGGGGCTGCAGCTCAGTGAGTAGAGTACTTGTAACTCAGTGGATAGAGTGCTTGTAGCTCAGTAGGCAGAGTGCTCACCTAGTATGCACAAAGCCACAAGTTCCATCCCCAGCACCACATAAACCAGGCATGATGGCAAACACCTGTCATTCCAGCTCTTGGGAGGCTGAGGCAGGAGGATCAGGAGGTATCCTGGGCTACAGGAGTCCCTTTCAAATATGTATGAAACAAAAGAATTTTGTGTTTAGATTTGATCCGTCCATTTCCCATAGGTGAACATTCAACCTACACATCAATACTAAGTCATTCAGCTGTCACCTCTATCATAGAATATTCTATGGCCCTAAGTGGAAGCCCCATTCCCCAGCAGCACTCTCCATCCCCTCCCCAGCCCTGTACCCCCAATCCACTTTCTGTGTCAGGATCCTTCTGCTCTGGACACTTTCTGTCTTGGAGCTCCACATTGGCCTTTTGTGTCTAGGTCTCTCACTCAGGACAGTGTCTCTGAGGTTCTTCCATGCTGTCATAGCCTCACTCCTATTCAGGGCTGAGTAGTACTCCTGTGTTGATGGACCACATTGTGTGTCCACCGTCTATCTGTGGACACAGGATGGTTTATATACTAGCTTATAACATCGCTCCATTCCCACTCCTCTCTGTTCATTGTTGAAACGAGTTCCCCCTTGTAGATAAACATGAGTCCCAACAGCCAGCACTCACAGGATTGGCGAGCTGGGGTGAGGAGCAGAAAGGCTGAGAAGTCTCTAGGTAGGGGATTCCTCTGAGCATGCAAATATTGAGCACCTGCTGTATGCGCTCTGGCTGTACAGGCATTGAGCACCTGCTGTGTGCATGTTGCTGGAGACAGAGAGTGGAGAAAAAACAGGATGATTAGGGTATGTAATGGTTGTGAGGGTTAAATGAGTGTTTGAGGGTGAAAATTAGGGTGATCGGGGAGGTCCTGGGAGCCTGGCACAGGGTGATCTGGGGAAGACTGGAGCAGGTAGATGGTATGAACTACGGTCCTGGGGTCACGGAAGACACCCTGTCTGTGGCTCAGTGCTGGAGGGTGAGGGTTGGGGGAACATTGAGGTCATTGGGGCTGGTCTCTGCAGTCTGCTCCTCAGGAGGACCCAGGGCAGGGTCCAGACCTAGGTTAATGGCCAACAGGTCTGTGCTGCCCTTCGGTGCTCACCCTTCTGGAATTCTCTGAGGCTGAGATGAGGAGAGCCCTAGAGGGCTTCCTGGGTTGTAGCTGCACCACTCTGAGCTGATGCTGATGGAGGAGGACAGCCTGAGCCTGGGGTTTCAAGTCTAAGGGAGACTCTGGGTAACCCCAGGAAGGGAGTTAAACACCCTACTCCTGAGGCCCCATGGAGGAAGGACTGCCCAGCTGCCTGTCACCCACTCTCGTGACCACCCTTCCCCTTCCTGGCCAAGGTCACCATCAGCTCTTTGCTTTCATTTGGTGGTAAGGAATGTTCCGGCCTTGGGGCTCCATGACTGCCTTGCCTGGGATCACCCTCAGCCCAGTCCTGCAGGATAAGCATGACCAGCTCCCCCCACTGAGCCCCCCCTTCATACCTCCTGGGCCTGCCAGGCCCGCCCTGTCCGCTGGGTGACCTTGGGCCTGTTGCATAACCTCTCTGGGCCTTCCAAACACAAATGCAGGCAGAGCTGTAGTTGGATTATCTCTGGAGCTGGGAGCCTACACCCGCCCTGGTCTTCAGCTGCCCACAGAGCCCAGCTCTGCTCTGAGTACCTTCAAAATTATCCCTGGAGGGTGGGACTCCTTTGCATTAGGGGGTGAGTGGGCACCGGCTTCTCTGCCAACAGCTAAGCTGGTGCCCAGAAGCCCCTGCAGCACCAGGAGAGGCTCAGAAACCTTAAGACAGCCATCCGGGACACACAGCCTACAGGGTATTAGTTCTCCTGTCTCAGCCTCCTGAATGCTGGGATGACAGGCATACCCACCATGCCCAGCCTGTTTTTCACTTACTTTTATTATCATCATTATTAATTTATTTTTTATTTTTATTTTTTAGTATTTTTTGGAACCTGCTAGGTGGAGCCAGCCACCCAGCCGGCCCTTCATCATCATTATTAATTTTTATTATTATTAATGTTTGGTTGGTTTGGGTTTTTTGAGACAGGGTCTTCCTGTAGCCCCAGCTGGCTTGGGACTCACTTTGTAGCCCAGGCTGGCCTCAATCTCACAGAGATCCACCTGCATCTGCCTTCCAAGTGCTGGGATTAAAGGTATACACCACCTTACCCAGCCTTAATTTATTTTTTGAGACATGGTCTCATGTAGCCCAGGCTGGCCTCAAACTCACTACATGGCCGAGGCTGACCCTGAACTCCTGATCCTCCTGCCTTCACCTCTGAGTGCTAGGGTGACAGGCATGCGGACCACGCCTGGGGTATTGGGTGCTGGGGATAAACCCGAACCTAGGGGGCCTGCGTGCTAGGAGAGCTCTGCCATGAGCACTCCAGCCCAGTTTTCACTTTTGATTTTGACACAGGGGCTGACCAAGTGGTCCAGGCTGGCCTCGAACTCGCGATCCTCCTGTCTCAGCTTCTCGTGCTGGGATGACAGGCGTGCGCCCCCAAGCCCAAGGCTGACCTGGGTTGAAGGCTTGCAATTTCTCTCATTAACCTCTTCTGCCTGCTCAGACCTTTCCCAGAGAGATGCGTGGGCACCCAAAACCGAAACGGGAGAAAAGCACTCTCCATCCCACCCTTCAGCCACCCCCCCCCCTTCCCGAGGCCCGCGGGAAGTCGCCAGCCGCCCAGCACCTTGCTCAGCTCCTAGTCCTGTAGCACCCGGGGCGGAGACGCTCCCAGCGTAGGCTCCACCTCCGGCGCGCGGCCGAGTTGCCATGGGAACAGTGCGGTTGCCAGGGCGACCGCCTCCCGTGGGGCTGCCATCCATCACCCAAGTGGCGCCTGGGAGTGGGGAGGGGTGGGGCCAACGCCTCTGTGTGTGTGTTTGTGTGTGTGTGTGTGTGTGTGTGTGTATGTGTGTACATTGTGATTGTGTCCCTATGTGTCTGTGTATGTATGTATGATTGTGTATTTGTATGTGTGTATATGTGTATGTGTCTGTGTGTGTCTCTATGTTTCTGTGATTGTATATTTGTATGTATATATGTATATGTGTCCATGTGTGTCTCTGTGAGTGCATGTGTCTGTGAGATTGTGTATGTATAATGTGTGTATATGTGTATGTATGTGTGTCTCTGTGTATGATTATGTATGTGTATCTATGTATGTGTATGTGTGTGTGATTGTGTATGTGTGTATATGTGCATGTGCCTGTGTGTCTGTCATGTTTGTGTGTGATTATGTTTGTATATGTGTCTGTGTCTGAGTGATTGTGCATGTGTGTATATGTGCATGCCTGTGTGTCTGTGTCTGTGTGATTGTGTTTGTGTCTGTATGTGTCTGTGTCTGTGTGTGTATCCTGTATATGTGTCTGTGTGATTGTGTATTTGTATGTGTGTATATCTATATGTGTCTGTGTGTGCCTGCGATTGTGTGTGTCTGCGTGTATATGTGTGACTGTGTATGTGTCTGTGTTTTTGTGTCTGTGTATGTTTGTGATTGTGTATGTTTATGTATGTATACATGTCTGTGTGATTGTGTACGTGTATGTGTGTATACATATGTGTTTGTGTGTACATGTCTATGTGTCATGTGTATGGTTTTGTGTTTATGAGTGTCTATATATGTGTGTCTGTGTGTGTTTATATGTGTGTATGTGTGTGTTTTTCTGTGTCTGTGTCTGTGTGTGCGTGAGACCAACTACCTCAGGGGACAGAGTGTGGAATTTTGTCTTTCTGGGTTCACTGAGAACAACGTCTCTCTGACTGGCTGCCTGACCTTCTACTCTGGACAGGGGACTGTCCACTCAGTGAAGACAGTGCTGGCCTTGTTGTCTCTACCCTGGCGCCGGCCACACAGCTGTCCCTGTTTCCCTGTGACCAACCTGAATGGCCCCCTGACCTTGAGGGTGGGGACAGGGCACTGGTCCCTTGTGCCCAGGGTTCCTTTTCTCTCTCTCTCTCCTCTTCTATTTTTTTAGACTGGGTTTTATTTAGTCCAGGCTGGTCAAGGATGACCCTCAACTTTTTTCTTTTTCTGAGATGGTCTCCCTGTAGCCCTGGCTGGCCTGGAACTCACTATGTAGACCAGGTTGGCCTTGAAGTCACAGAGATCTGCCTGCCTCTGCCTCCCAGGATTAAAGGCGTGCACCACCCCACCGTGTGCCCTACTGATATATCCTCTCTCTCTCTCTCTCTCTCTCTCTCTCTCTCTCTCTCTCTGGCCTTTTTGAGAGCTGATTCTCATTTTGAGAAGGTCACTGTTTCTGGGGTGGAGAGGAGGCTGCTGGGAGCCAGGGAGGTGGCAGGGGATGGTAGAGGACTAGGCGGGGGGGTAACAACATTTAGTTTCAAAAGAAAATGAGAGGTGGGACCAAAACCACAAAAGTATCAGAGCTCCACTGAATTGTTCTGTAAGGACTTCCAAGCCAGAAAGCTGGATGGAGCCCTTCCTGAGTCCCACTTTGCTGAAGCTACTGTTAGTGAGGACAAAGAGGAAGATAGGGACAGGTGATCCAGCCACTCAGGAGGATTCCAAGTTTCAGCCAGCCTGAACGACTCTGAGCAACTTAGTGAGACTCCGCCTCAAAATAAAAAGCAAAGGGCAGGGAAAGTAATTTAGCTAGTAAACTGCTTTTTATTTTTTTTTAAAACATTTTATTTATTATTTTTATTTTATGTGTATGTGTGTATTGCCTACATGTAGGTAAGTGCACCCGTGTCGTTCAATGTCTACGGAAGCAGAAGAGGCTGTTGGAGTTGCGGACAGTTGTTAGCTGCCACGTGGGTGCTGGGATTCGAACCTGGGTCTTCTGCAAGAACAACCAGTGTTCTTAACTGCTGAGCCATCTCTCCGGCCCCTACAAACTGCTTTTTAACAAGTGCAAGGACCTGAGCTCAATTCCCAGCACCCACAAAAGAGCCAGGTGTGGTGAGTCGGCTTGTAATCTCAGCATGGGAAGGTGGAGACAGGAGGATCCCAGAGCTCACTGGCCAAATACCCTTGCAGGGTTGGGGAGCCTCAGTGAGAGACCTGGTCTCAAAAACAAGGTGGACCACCAGATGTGATGCATGTCTTTAAACCCAGCACTCGGGAGGCAGTTAGAGGCAGGTGGATCTCTGTGAGTCTGAGGTCAGCCTGGTCTACATAGTGAGTTTGGGGCTACCGGGAGACCCTGTCTCAAAAAGATGGAGAACTCATGAAGAATGAAACCCAGGGTTGACCTCGGACCTCCACGAGCAAATGCATACTTGTGTAACTGCACAAATTTATGCACATATAATAAAAAGAAGGCTGGAGGGTGGCTTAGGGGTAGAGTGACAGTCTAGACTCCCCCAGTGAGGGGCTGGTAGCCAGGGGTAGAGTGACAGCTTAGAATGTGTAAAGCAGTTGATTCCATCCCCAGCTCAGTAAGGATAGATAAATCAGTTCTGGCCCACTCTGTGGGGCCCTGGGAGGCACCAAACTGGGGAAGATGCTTCCTGCCAGGAAGGGAGCAGCCAGGCAGGGTCACCTGTGGGTCGTGGGAGCCCGGTCCCTTCCAAGCCTCGGTGAGGTCAGGAAACTGAATCCCACAGCAGCAGGGTGGGGCGTTGCTTTTGCCTCCTGTTGTCTGGACCGATTTGGGTGGAGGGAGCATGTTGTTGGGGGCTGATGGACCGCCACCTCCCGGCTACAATCACTGCCCGGCTACCTGCATCTCCTGCTCCTAGGTTTCCCAGGTGGGGACACTGAGGCCCAGCGGGATAAGGGGAAGCCTGTACAGGGTCTGGGAAGCCTGACTCAGGGCCAAGGTGTGTGGAGGAAGGAATGGAGAGGCGAAGGACTGGCTGTAATTTCAGCCCTTAGATGATAG